CTAGAAGAAAAGAGTAAAATAAGCGGTTACACTAGTGGACATCTACTTCAACTTGGGTAAAACACGCGGACGCTTCGGTGCTTTAAGTTAACCGTGAACTATTAAATATAGTGGCAATGCCGTCAAGGCTCAGGCAAGCGTTAAAAAGGTTTTTGGCTACGAGTGAAAATTTCTGCTCTGGTTTCAACGTGAAGAAGACCAGAGCAAATAAATGGATACCTGTGATGTCTTATAATTAAAAAATATAAGACAGTTTTAAAGTCCATTAATTTATTTATAGCATTTCTTTTCATCCGACAATAATCTTGATTAATAGTGAGAAAAAATTCTTTCAATAAAATTTTTATTATACTCTTTTGTCACACTTGGTTTCGAATTTCAGAAAATATACTATTAGCTTTCTATTTCAATCGGAATATATTAAGTAGATATTCTCACACATTCACAACTTTCAATTTTATTATATTACGTAGCGACATATACTATTGCCGATATGCATATTTTAATATATGATTTGATCAACTAATTCAAGCATCATTAATTGATTACAAATGAATTAATTAAGGAGTTACAAATGATTTTATCCGATCATAATAAAGTAATCATGCACAAGACGGACTTTTTTGTTGATAAATCGCTAACATCATGATAAATTGGACTTCAACGGTGAGAACTTTACAGTCCTTGCAATTATTGCAATAGCTATTCGTGTCAAAGAATCTGCATATAAATAAAGGTAGCTTATATAAAACTTTGTCACATCCCACGCTTTAAGTATAAATTGTTAATTAAGCATTACGTTATTACAGCCAATAAAATTTATTAACAACTTTTTATTTTTGTAGAAAGTGTAAATTATAAAATAGCCCTAAAAATATATGGAGTTTTTCAAACATAAAATAGCAGTCGTAAAAACAAAAATAATATCATGGAAAATTAGTGATATACATGCAACTATTAATTATGTATTTTTCATATTTAAATTTTTAACAAAGTACTGGTACAACAAAGTTTATGTACTGATACATTCCGTGTTGATAGATTCCAGTGCATTGCTCCTATTAAAGATATACAGTTAGAAAATACTAAAGGGAATATAATAATGAAGAGTGACGTGGTAGAAAGAAGCTAAAAACTTTATAAATATATCGACGATTATAATATGGTTGTTTGATAATTATGTAATTTTTCAAATTGAAATCAGAATGAAAAACTCAAGTTTTACTTAAAACATAATTTGTGAAAAAGAGGAAAAATGTATGAAGTGAAAGTAAATAAAAAAAGCGAATAACACATAAAGCAAGGTTTGAGAATGAATCAAATAATTTTTCAGATTATGATATAGAACATTCAAGTTAAGGAAGGTAAAGTGACCAAGAGTATATATAATTATATATTTCATATTTTAGAATTCAAGAGACCACAATTCGAAAGACAATATGCTAACTTTATCCTTTATCCATTGGTTAGTACAAGGTATTTCTATTTATTGTACTTTAAAAAAATGTATTTGTCGGCTTTACATGAATTTCGTTAATATACAAATTTCCATAATAAAGTCATTAATCACTAATAATGTAAAAGCAAATTTAAATAAATCTTACCAAATGCATATAAGATATAAACTTAAATTAATAAACTTTCGTTATGAAAAGAGCGATAGCTTACATATGAAGCTAATAAGAAATGGATGTGAAATATTCATTAATAAATAATAGATAATTTAAAATTAACATTAATAAGTAAAATGTGTAAATGTTGAAATAGTAGTTTATATAGCGTGAAAATACATTAATATTTGAAAATTATTTAAAAATCATTAAAAATATTAATACATATATATATATATATATATATATATATATATATATATATTGAAATTTATATTGAAAAATATAAATTGAAATGCACAATCATTAAGCGCATATATTTTTCTAAGCTGTAAGCATAATAATATCAAATATGATAGAATAATTTTCCTCGAAAAACATACGTAAATTTTTCATTGACTTAAATACTTAGGGGATAGTGGGATAGTGAAGATAACTCGCACGATAAAGTGAGATACACGATTGCTTTAACACGATGCTCGAGAATTTTAAGAATCGTCGATTTTGCCCCTAAAGCATCTAAGATAAAAATAGCATTTTGAAAAGTCATTGTAGCTAAAATTAAATAACAGCGAAGAAATGCATCGAACTTGCAAGAAAATCTTGCGTATATCATCAAGCTTTTTCTCTTCATCGGTTTTGCTTGAATCTTCGTTATTTGTTTCATAATTTTTTTTCGGTAGGACTATCGGATTCCTTTGCAACTTTATGTAACGTAATATATTTTGAAGTTTACTTCCATCACATGGTTTCATCATCATTATTGTATATTTTAGTGAGGTAATTTAAAATTGTTTTTTATTTTAAATTATTTTAAGTTGCAGGAAATACGTGCGACCGTCAGTTTAAAAATTCTATTAAACTTCAATGCTACGGCTTCATCCAGATTTTCCTTTTCATTTTCTCCATCCTTCACATCATTAAAATAAATATAGACGTATAATACGTTCGTTAACTTTAAATTTTAATCAGTTACACACATAATGGTATTATTCAATGGTTTAGCTTTTCCTATTTTGTTTTATATTGAATATTTTCTTTTCTTTCATGTAGTTGAAAATTAATCAAGATTGTCTAAAAATTGAGTACCGGGCTAGGAGAGCCAAATATCTAGAGTTAGGTGTAAACTCCCAGATGGTGGGAGGGAGGATTGCGGGCAAGTGGACAGTATAGTGCATGTATTCAATAATAAATAGATTTGGTATTTGTTGTAGTTTATTGGGATAATTGCATTAGTTGTATTATAATGATTTTTAGTTGATATTTGAATGCCTACGTTTCTTGAATTTTGTACTTCTATTGCCATATAGAGAGCTGTAATGTGCGTTTCGTGTACAGGTAGAAGGGTGTAGTAACCTTCTGGTCCTCTATATGTAATGCACGTAGAAGAACAAGGTCGTAAGCTCCCGTGCTTCCTTGTGCAGTGGCACGTGGTAGTAGCTTGAATTTGCCTTGGTATTTATTGTCTTATTTTTTGCCTTGAAAGCTCTGCAGGTGCGCTTTTGGTGGCACTTGATCTTAGTCTGCAGATATTGCCGCGTACGGCGCCTCGTAAGTCTTTCTTGTGTGAGCTAAACTTGCCCCTTATGCGTTTGCAGATTATGTGAGCTTGGCATATTGTGTATTATTATGTATTATTAAGGAATGGAACTTTTACCTTGTGAGTTCTGTATATTTTGTGCTCTTCTCGCTTCACTATCCGAGCCACATGTAGCTGGGTTTGATAACAGCGTATGCGTGCAGTGTTGCCTTGAATATACCCTTTTCGGATGTAAGAAGAGGTGGTTTTTGCCTATATTTTTATGACTTGATTATACCAGAAGTATTATGACTTGTCGTCGATAGATTCTTTGTAGCGAGGCCGTGTCAAATGTCTCATAGCATTAGTTTTATGACGGCTTTTTGCTGGATACTTGTCACTTTGTTCTCGCCAGATGTGTTTATAAATTGTATTTTCTTTTGATATTCGACGTTTTGCTGAATTGTTTAGATTTAGTTAATCTGAGGCACGTTTTGAATGTTTATTCCTCGAGTAGTCGAGAGTTGGCTTTTTTTTTACGGAATTCTCGAACAAAGATCTAAGTAACTAACAGAATCAAATATAATTGTTTGTGATGTTATATTCGTGCAATAATTTTAATAAAATTCAATAACCTGTTTATCATTTGATTTGTCAGTAAAGCCTATTTTTATCTGTATATGTTGCAATTAATTACTATTTTACACAACTGAATATGATTAATAAATTACCAACTTTTTATAAGGATTTATTCTTATTGGAAAATGAGATATTCTAATAATATTTGAAAATTGGTATAATATATTCATTGAAAAATGTTGATAATAAGGAATAGAATTCTCATACATAATAACATTAATTTTTTATAATTGTGAATTCATTAAAATATATTAATTTAAATATATCAACTATCAAATCACAGTTAAGGCTATCAGTATTTAAAAAATGTTTATTTTGAAAGTAATATAACTTCTTTTTTTTCAATTGTTAATAAATTTAGTTCAATATCTATATTAAAAGCTTCATTTTTTATTAATTTTAATAACATTAAAAATAATAGGTAATAAAAATAAAATACATATTTCTGTAAACAAAGAAAATTTAAATTCTTCAATTTTATAATACCTATGTCTTATATATTAAGTTTTATGTATTCTGCATTGAATATAATTATTAGTAGCTTCAATTTCAAATTCCCTGAAATATTAATATCTTTCAATAAACTAAGTATCGAACTATTTGGCTTTCTCGTTCCCGTTCAAGCGCTTACAAAAATGCAGAATATGAAAATCCAAGCTGTAATCTAATTGGTATCGAAAGTATTTCAAATCCAGTTACGAAATCATGTTCTGCTCATCTTTCAGTTAATATAAAATAAAGCAGTGCTTAAGAATGATAAAGAAAAATTGCGATGTTGCCATCATAGAAGTTTTTAAAAGGTTAGTAGAACTTTTAGTTGAATTTCTTGTCTCAGCTGCGTAGTGGATATCATTTGTTTCTCATTTTTCTTATAGATCTACCCCTCTTTATCTGTTAAAATCGATCCATTTTACATTTTACATTCATGGTTCTTGGGAAATGTTTCACATATTTTTTACTTATGATTTTTGAAAAAAACAAGAGTAAATTTTCAGATATTAATGGAATTATATTTTATAACTAAATTGTTTTTTTTATTATGGTTTAATATAAGTTCAAAATTAATATAAAATTATGTTTCAATAATTAAACATTTTTGTTAACTCTGGATAGTCAATAACACTTTAAACGTCTTAATGATTTTTTATGATTTAATTTGAACAATATTTTAAGTTTTAAGTTCTAACAATGAATATGTATATAATTACAATTTTTTAATGCAATTCCCTCACCTGGCATTCGTATGTTCCGTTGTCTCTTTCTTGAACATATTTAATTTGAAGGGTCCAGTCGTCTGAACCCTCGGGATGCAACACTTGAAATCGCTCGTCGTTCGTATATGTGAACATAGAGCTGGTTAAAACATGCCAATCACGTCGACGAATCCAAGAAATCTGAAATTTGAATATACATTGCTCTCAATCATATGTAACATAAATTTAGCGTTGAATCTAATTTCTAACTGACTTCTTCTTATCATTACTATTTTCTTTCATTTCTTTAGCAATTCATCTAACAGAAACAGACGATTGTTTTTATTCATTTATAAAAAAGAACTAAACTAAAAGGACTAACTAGAATGTTGCGTTGCCACTACTCTTATATAATACTTTATTTTAAGTACAGTTCATACGAAGCAAAAATTGGATAACTCATTAGATTGTATAATAGACGTCGAAAAGAAGAAGCAAGAAATATAGATAAAAAAGTGCATATTATATGCATATTATACTATAAATAAAAATTTGAACATTTCACAATGAGTTAAAGTGATTATCAGAACTGTCATAGGTAAATAAAGTTAAGAATTTCTAGATAGGCAATTAATAAAGTTTGACATAAATAAATTTTTAATAAACTATGTTTGCTTATGGAAAATAAATCAATCGACATTAATGAACATAAATTAATGAAATTAAAAATGAGAAGACAAAAAATTAATTTGATCTCATAGATTTATTTTATAATTAATTTATTAAATGTTAAAAAGCTACGATTAAAATAACATATTTATTTTTTTTATAAGTTTACCAAAAATACTAAGGTTTTTAAATAATAGTACCCATATGATTTATAAAAGAGACAATATTCCTAGGGTATAAGTATGTACAAATGATTAGCTAATCACGAGTATTCCAGAAAAATGAAGTTTAGATGTTTACATGATAGGGAACGGCTAATTATTCCTTTTTAAGTTCTAAAATCTGCATATATATATATATATATATATATATATATATATATATATATAGCCCATTTGTGTATGAAAGTAATAAAATGATAAATTCAAATTTAAATATTTTTACAGTAATATCATTCATAATGTTAAATAGTGGTAAAGTTAGTAATAAAAAGGAAATTTAGTAAAATATTGAATTATTGCCAAATCATAGTTTACTCTAGAAACAATAATGTGATATAACAAAAAAAATCTTTTTGTTAATATAATCCAGCTTAAGAACTTTTAAAATAACTTAATCATCATACATTTTTATATGAAAACTGGGTCGGAATTATTTAAATACACTAATAGAATTTGTAATTATTTCTAATTCTTTAGTAAGAGTAATTTGTAATTACATATTACAAAAAAAAATGAAAATGTAATAATTAATATTATTTAATATTGTTATAAATAACTGCGAAATCGAACACAAAATATGTAAATTCTAATCAAATCCATAAAGGATGCAGTTACATGTGTTAACGGAGGATGGAGTAGGTCAGGCTATGTGCTGAATGAATCCCAAGACTAAAGATTCGAACTGAACAAGTATGCAATTTCCAGGTGTGCACTGTTGCCAACAAATTAGGCAATCATTATTGATGTGAAAGAGATTGACGGAGAATATATCCAAATGATGCTTCGAGACATTGCCAGAAAATTATTTAGAGATTAAAACGAAGAAGTTGAATATAAATGTTATATCAATAGGCAAAGAATTACTTGAGTACAAGTCATCTGTATCTTTCCCTTTCTCATAAAATACGAATAATTATAATCGATCTTCTAAATTTAAAGTATATTTAAATTCTTAATACAATATCTTAGTTATGTTGTAAAGTGAAATTATATGTAATAACTTGTTTACTTTTTTATCAATATTGGATTGGCAATATTAATGCAAAGATTTAATTATTAATGATAAAGAGCAGTTAATTTGTATTATAATATACTATTTATGTTGAAAAAATATTATATTTTATGTTCCCATTTTATTACACTTTATTTTTTTATATCTTTGGTATTATTACTAAATTGATCATTATTTCTAGGATTTGACTCATTGAATTGTTTAATTTAATTTAATTCTTGTTTATATATGCCTCGCGCGCCCGTACACGTACACACAGAGAGAGAGAGAGAGAGAGAGAGAGAGAGAGAGAGGGAAAGACATAGATAAAGGAGGGGGGGGGATTAATATTTATGCAGAATATATGTACTTACGACTTACACGAGATCACCAATTTAATTATAATAAAAAATGGAATGGAAGAAGCATAGTTACGACTTCTTACCGTTATAAAAATCAACATTAATATGTACAAGCGAAGCCGCAAAAGAGAAATGACAAAAAGAGAGTAATATAATCATAGGAAAGGAAAGAATAGATGGAGAAGGAAAAATAGAGGGAGAAAGAGAAGGGAAGAGTATCGTGGCTGGCTGAATTTTGCACAAAAAAAACCTGTTGTTTTATTACAACTATATACATGCGATCTCAAACAATTTATTACTAGTATCCAAAGTCTAGTTTTTCAAAATTTTTTTATAAAATTAGTAATAAGATTATTACATATCCTATAATTATTAATTATATATTATTAGTATATAATGTATTAATTGTAATCAAATAAGGACAATGAAAATTTAATTAAGCAAAAGGTTAAAAATGTTTAAAATAAAAAAATTTCTCTAAAAACTAAATTAATAACAGTATACATACTCACAATATATTCATATATTTATGAATCAATATGCTGTATTGCTTTACATAATTGTAGGCACCATTTTTATTCCATAAAACTGATTTAACACCGTTTTAATTATGCTCTCAAATTGCGGGATTAATGGGAAGAGATCGATATAAAATTACTACCTTTCTAAATAGAATTAGATTTTCTCTTAAAAAATAATCAATAATCATTCTATTTAATAAAAGTGTTTAATAAAAAATCAATATAATTATTTATTCGAGGGGTGATGCGCCTCGTATAGTAGCATCGTATTCGAAATTGAGTGAGCGCCTCAAGCATCGAGAAACTTACGTATAGGGCATCTCTACATAATTTTCTCATCTTTTGTTTGCAGAAAGTCCTTCTTTGAGTTGAGAACTAGTACGACTTGGGATACTATCGATTATAGAAAACATGTTAAGGAGTAGTGGTATATGGAAGTGAGATGAGTGAGATGTAAAGCTAGCGAATTAAACGAAATAAATTCACGGATTTGAGTAATCGCTACTACAATCTTCCTATCAAGCAATTGCAATTAAAAATATGATATACAATAAAGTCAGGCCTTTTCATTATATTGGAAGAAAACATTTTAATACTGTACAATTATACACTAATGTAGAAGTACATTTATACAATAACTTGAAAAAGTAAAATTATTAAAAGTAATCTTGATATATGAGTAAAATAACGATTCTTTTTGAATTTTTTAAATTTTAAATTTTCTTACACAATTTAAATTTCATAGTATCTCATAGTAATTGTGATTTTATTTAATATTTAAAATAAATAATATACATTTTTTTATAAAACTAAACATAATTAAGTAAATTATTTAATTATAAATAGAATTCAATTTTTTAAACAGAATTTTATTTATGCTGTATATGATGATATTATAGTATGAGAGTATAATATAATAAAAGAATATATTATAATATGAGAATATAATATAATATATTCTTAATTATGTCGTGAAAATTACGCATAATTTTGTATGTCTCTTAATAGAAATTCTAAAAGTGAATTAAAAAAAATAAAAAAAAAAGAAAAAGTAAAAGTAAAAAAATAATAAATTGAAATAAAGTAAGATACATAAAAAAATAATATTATTTTTATATATACCTTTTTATATTTTATATTCTTCATATTTTAATGATTTTTAAAAAAAAATTATTTATATATTAATTTTATTTTTTCTAATTTTATTATATTAAAAAATGTAACATTTCTTATATTTCTTTAAAATTATTTGAAATTTAATATTTGCGCACAAAAATTTTTATAATTTAAATTATCTACAGATTATTGCAAAGTGAAATGACAACATTGTGGGGGGAATTAGAGATAACGATGATAAGTAAAAAAACAGGGATATCAAATATTATAGTTCAAAGACATATAGAATATAAAAGAATAATAGTGTAATTTATTTTGCAAGGGTGAAGATGTAATACGTAATAGATTTTTGATAATGCTTTATGTCCCATTTGCTCTTATATATATATATAAATGAATCGTCCTCTCTCTCTCTCTCTCTCTCTCTCTCTCTATCTCTCTATCTCTTTCTCTTTCTTTTTTTCTTTCAATTTATCTATATCGTAGCTACTTAACTATTTATCAATTCATTAATTTATGCATGCGTACATACATACATAAATTAATGCTTACATATATGCATATATAAATATGTATATATATATATATATATATATATATCTTTTATATATCTTTCCAAATATATATGAAATGGATATATATTATTATTATCTTTGACAGTCGAGAATTATACAACCATACACATGTATGTATACTGAATATTGAATTCAATTTTATGCTCTTGATGTACTCCATTCATATTTTTATTTTTTATGCTACGTTTATGTAATATTTTATTTTAATAATTTAAAAAATTCAATTTTTAATAACAAATATATAGTGAGACTAAAACTCAGTGCCGCTAAATTGCATTGCGTAGTTAAGTAAATATTATATTGTACTAATGTTTCATAAAGGATAAGTTATAGTATTAGATTAATCGCTATTATTTAATTATTTTTATAGATCTACACAATACATTTAAATATTTTTAATTAATTACATTTTTCTATTAATAATATTCAGAATTAAATATTAATTTTTATTATAAATATTTTAAACATGTATTATGTGCAAATTTATTCAATAATAAAAAAGCAAATATTACCAAATTACTTTTTCTGTAACCGAAGTATAATTTATTTTTATATCTCGTTCTTGAAATAATTTGTGATAGTGTTTATTTCTTTCTTTACATAAATAAATATATATATATATATATATATATATATATGTATGTATGTATATATTTGCAGTATTTCTTATTATTCTTATTATTGTCAAACCGTTTTATAATTTGAAGATTGTTATTGATTATATCAACAACAGCACTTTCACGTTAATTTTCTTCTTTTCAACTACATGACTCTTAAGCCATGTACACATTTTCTCTGTGTTCTTTTACATTGATTTTCTAATTGTTTTATCTAATCACATTGTATTGTTTTTCATTTTCAAAACAACATGTAGAACCTATCGAATCCTGCATCATTATTTTATTGTAATCTAATTTATATAATTGTCAACCATTCAGTATTTAATTTTGTTGATTTTATTTTATATTTTTTAGTAAATTTAATATGCCGATCGTTATCAGTGAATCAATTCAAATTTATATGAAATAAGCTATATATTAGGAAGAAAATATTTTTGAATGAATATTTTTTAATAAAATCAGAAATTTTGTAAATTTCTTTTATTTTGGAATATATTAATTACGCAAACCTACTATATGTTTTCAAAACAGAATATTATATTGTATAATAATATTTAACCAGACAATTTCTATAGCGACACTTCCATAAACTTAATACTTTAAATTGCATCACACTGAAATTGCAATTCCCTTATTTGATAGTTTATCGAAGTGATAATATTATTTAATTATGTGTAATAATTACGTCGATAACTATGAATTTAGAAATTTTAAATACAACTTCTGCTCTTACATAATTTCGTAATTGCGATACAGCGAAGTATTACAATTTTTATTATTACATTTCTTTCGACTATACTGGGATTATTTGCATAGTGGTTTTGAATTATTTAATCTATTCTAGCATATATCAAGAACATCATCGAGTATTTTAAATTTAATGTGACATTTCTATACACTGAATTAGTTTATGAAATTGTAGAGTCTCGATAAAATCTAATAATGTAAAGATCTGATATAATATCCCATTATCAATACTATTATTGTTATTAATTAGAACATTCGATCTGTTATTACATAATTTCATTCATCGCATAGTATTTATTTATCGATTTTACATGTAGTTTGTAATATTATAAATTTTAATGACTATTCTTAACTATTGATTCTAATTTTCAATTCAATAGAAAAGTTAATATATTTAAATTATTCTATTATATAAAATGCTATAAATATGAACAAGAGAGTAAAAATAAGAAAATTGATGTAATTTTGCACTTTAAATTGTAAATGTGTATAAATTGAAGAGGAATGAATAAAGATTTTGGAAAACATCAAAGAATAGATGGATTTACTTTTAAAGTTAACGATTTGTTGAACTTAGAACTTACCTTAGGAACATTTTTGGTTGAAGTAGCAGTTTGGTTTGGCGCGTAGTGCAACGGAGGTATAAAAAGGTAGAGGAATCGTGCAGGTTTACTGGACGAGTACTATAATAAATAAGCCCGAAGGGCTTTAAGCATAGAAGGAAAAAGACCTTACCTCGGCGTCTGAAATCGTTCTCTCTGCCAAATTACGAACTTTACAGTGTAGGAAAGCAGTTCCACCGAGCTGCACTGTCACGTTCGATACGGTGTTGTTTTCATTCGCCTCGTTGACTCGTTGTAGTTCATCGAGGTTGCTATACCAGAGTGCCTTCCAGTCAGATGGTACATAGGGTATTCGTCGGTCTGAAATCACAAGAGAACTTTGAAGATGTCACGCCTTTATCTCTTACGTATATCTTGTTTATAAGTGTTTATCGTCTTTCTTGCGCTCTATATCAACATATTTTCTTTTTGTTTTACTTTATCCGTTTGGTCATATTGTTTTAAATATATTTTTCAAGCGCGCTAAGTATTTGAAATCGGGATGGAATTGAAGCTTATGATTATTAATCATTTTTACAATGAAAATACTAAATACATTCCGTTTATTTAAAGTTGTTTATAAAATTCAGTATGAATTATTAAGAGTATATCATCTGCATTCATTTTTTATTATACAACGATGAATCGACATGTTCTATATTATTAATAGAATTATATCTGTATAATTATATTTATTTATTATATGTATAGATTGTATCCCTAGACTTTTTTTTTCATAGACACATATAATAATACGAGTAAATCATTGTTTATCTTATGATTGAACTTATTATAACACTGCTTGACCAATTATGAATATTCAATATTAAAAGGATGAAAAATTAGATATAAATTGAAAAAAATTGATTTATTTATTTTATGAAACGAATATTAAATTACGTTTTATATTAATCATCTAAATTTGGAAATAGAGTTGTGATTTTAATAATAGTAAAATGAGAAAACCGATTAATCTGAATTATAAAAATCTAACTTGTTACAAATCTTCATTACTACAGTGATTCATACTTTAGTGACTCGTTTTCTTTCGACTTTAAAAGAAATCAATGTTTCTTAATCCTTCTTAAAAAATGAATAAGATTAGTATTATAATAATCAGATTAGTAATTTTGTTATATATAATACATATTTTCTATTTTTTTATATAATCCTTTTGCAATTTGAATTTTTCATTACTTATTATATGTACATAAATTAAGGTGGGCGATAGCAATAATGATAACATCTATTACTGATTTTATAAAGTTTTTCTAAAAAACTTCAGCAAAATAGAATCGATTAATAAATACAAATAGAATATTTAATATTAATTATATTGTATTTAAATACTTTATTTTATATGAAAACTTATAACGAAGCTTCGATACATTTAATTTTAATCTAAATTGCTCGTTGAAAATGGCGTTGAATTATATGAAGGATTGAGTTACATAAATGAAGTAGAGTACAATAAGGACTTATGACTAATTCTTACTAATATTCAGATTCTATTATTGGCAGTGAATCTCTATAATTGGCAATATTATTCACTTTTTTGCAATATCTCTATCTTTGAATTCACATTCTGTTTCTATTGATGTCTTTCATTTTTTACATGTTATAACTGTTTGCATATAGAAAAGGTAAACAAATCGATGTTTTTGCTGTGTAAAATTTCATTTATAATTAATTATTTGCAGAGTATTTTTAGTAATTTAAGGAAATAGATTTCTTGTTATAATTGACGATTATTTTAAATTTTATATTTAATGTACTCATTATTTATGTTTTCCATCTGGCAACGATTCATTGATAAAGAAAAAAAATGTGAGAAACAAAAAAATCATTAATTGTCAAATTTAGTTGGACATCAATTAATATAATTATTGTTAGTGGGATTGAAATATACTTTAATGTTATTTTCAGAATGAAATTTTCATTAAATATTTTGTAATTGAATCATAATATTAAAGGTGTATTGTTCAAACATTTTTTTAACGTAAGTTTCTATTTTACGAAATTGTCTTTTCAATAAATTCATCTTATTGAAAATATAATATTTAATCAAAAAATTTTAATACAAGTTTAATTTATAAGATTAGTTAGGACATTACATAAATTTAGTAACTAACAATATGATCACTTTAAGATCATAAACAATTATTTTAACATCAGAATAATGAAGTGCATTAAAAAGGTGATTATACTCTATTGTAAAGGTAATTATTTTTTACAGAAGCAAATGTTTTTCTGTGTAAAATAATGTTTTTTAAATACCGTTCAATAGATAGTAAAACATTATTACTCACTGTTAATGATAATTTAATATTTTATTAAAATTATTACATAAATGGAAATGGATAATTGAAAATATTTTAAATTATTCGTCTCATAATTGAGTTTTAAATGTTACAAGAGCCAATAACCATCAATGCATCTCTTACTAAGTTTAAGAAATATTTTTTAAATATTAAATTATCTTCACTTATTTTGTTTTCCTATTTAATGATACATTTATTATTTAATAAGTTACTTTCGTTTATCGCATATGATTAATGCTAGCGGATTTTGTATTAAATATCTTGAAACTATTCATTTACTATAGTCATACATCTGTAATTGGCATTTCTTATTAATAACAACATCACTTGGATTTGTGGTTATATAAAACAAGACTTAAAATATCAAATCTCATAATTAAGATTTTTCACAATAATTTTGTAGGTAATTTTGCTCACATCTTGTATATAAATAAAAATGGAGATATCGATAGAATAGAATTTTATATTTTAATAAAATTATATATTAAATGTCGATAAAATATCAAACAATATGTATTACATAAATCACGAACGTAATACGTATACACTATGCATAGATAACATAAAAGTTAGATATAATACTTTCCTATTTATATTATTAAAATATTGAAATCTGTAATATGATTTTATATGACAGATTTAAAAATAAATTTTTTCAAAACGGCCCTTTAAAAAATATACTACATGTATTATATAAAATACTATTTTTAGTAAATAAAATATTTTGGTTTTAGTTTTGCATAAAGATTTGAATATTTGAATATAGATTTACAAGTGTTTAAATTTAGATTTTAAGCGACGAAATGACGTATGTTCCCGTTGCACGTATGTACCTTATATTATATGCATGAAAAAAAAAAAAAATCAGAACAAAATAGAGAAGCAGTAAGTTTTAAATTTTTCTAAATTTTAAAGTATTATTAAATTGATTTTAATTAATAAATCACAGGTATTTAGAATAAGTAAAAATCATCAAATTTGCGAATAAAAGCCAAAGCAAAGCATACTAAAAAAATAAATACCACGGCATATACTTGTAGTGTTGCACGTAGCAGTAACTTTCATTTACTTTTAAATAATTTTTTTAAATATTGACTTTCCATTGGTTCTGTTCTTATCGCGAAGCAGACATCTATACTTTGTGCTCGATGGGAGATGCGTGACCAATTTTACAAGGATTACGGCTAATTGCCGAGAAAGAAAGAACTCATGCCAAGGGATGACGAAATAGGCGGAGGAGGTGAAGCTCGTTTTCCAAAAAACATTCTACTTACATTTATGAAATTTATGAAGAGTATAGAACTAACGAAAATCAATGTTATAATCGGGCGCACGGAAAAACGAACAATAAATTGCTTTGCTTATTATTTTCTTGCTATTCATAACTAGTTCTTTTATTTAGAAGAAATATTTTATTCCTTCATTATAATTTGTTATTTTTTTACTGCATTAATTTCATCATTATGTTGTTTCACTGCTTTGTTCATTCTTCTTTATTATCAACTATATAGGATGTTAATAAAACAAGCTGTTTTATTAAAGAAATTTAATTTTGTTGGTTTTCCTTTTTATATTTATTTAAGTTCGTGGCTTATGAATATTTTATTCGATAAACTAAATATAGTTATAAATAATAAATGAATTTGAATATTTTTCAAAGTATTGGTAATGTTTTAATTGGTAAGTTTTTCCCACTTATATAGTGTGTTTTCACTTATTTGTATATATATATATATATATATATATATATAATATAAATATATATAATATATTATATAATATATATATAATATATAATATAATATATATATACAAATAGTGAAAACACACTATATTATAATTGATTATTATAAAAAATAGTTTATTTAAAACAAAAAAATCAACAATATCAACAATAATAATAAATTATTGTTCTATTAGGTATTTAATTTAAATTGAAGTCTTATATTTATTCCTGTGTTGAATAAATGTTTTATAGGAGGTAAGGTAAAAGTTATGTTGACATGTGATTTTATTTTTTAATAGTATTTTTTCTTTTTATTTGTAAGTCCGCATACACTTACATCGTTGCATCTAACGATGTTTATTGAGTATCATTGATAATAACACAATTTGGTTTTGTTAAATGCAGTGCAGCTAGCAACCTTGTAAATATTTCCTAGTATTTTGTATGACTAAGTAAGCTAAGCAGAAAATGTAAATTCGTATGCGTTTGTATTCCCAGGGGAAAACGAGGTACAGATATCACGCAAACGTGCATGCATAATATCTATATACATGGATATATATATATAGAAAATATAACCGGATTAATGCGAGAGAAAGACACAGACAGAGGTGGTGATAGTTAAGATGCTGGTTGTTCCATTATTCTTACATCTGTCCGCTTCGAATGCTGTCCATGTAATGATAATGTTTTTGTTTTAAATTACTTCTTTTTATTTTGAGACTAAAAATTAACTATACAAAGTTGACCTTACATATTTAATTTTTGAGTTATCTTTATTTGCTTTGAATAATTATAATGTCTAAAACGTTTCATAAACAGACATATATTGTACATTTTACTACTTAATTACTTTATAAAGAAAAATTTTGTTCAATTAAAAAATGGATACCTTATTTATATTTTTAATGTTACCTATTTTAATATATTAAATTCTTTGATAAAAATTTTAAATACTTCATCAAGCTATTAGATTCAGAAAAATTATTAGTAGCATATTGATAATAAGCTTATGGTTTAATAAGTTTTTCTATAAATTGCACTTTTTCATTTTAGTATTGTGAAAGAAAGTTTAGAGAAATTGTGTTACAATATTAAATTTATAAATAATAACCTGAATATTTATTGTTGTATAACATAAATTAAAAAATGATCCCTAATTAATTATTTTTTATATGTAGATTATATTGTATATTTAATATAAATTATATTTTATATGTATATGTGTATTATATTTATATAGTTAGATTTATTATATAAAAAATTTTCATTGT